ACAGTGTCACTGTTTAAGTGGTTAACTTTTGTCCAAATTCTAGCAGAATATGCTCTTTTCACATTCATTAAATATTGCTCATTCATTTATCTCTTTTCATCAATAAATCTAGGAGATATTTAGAAGTTATTCCACAAATTCCTGAAGTCCAGAGTATGCTCAACCTGCAGGTTAAATATGGTCATCGAATGTTACTGACAACTATGTGGGCTGTTCCTCACTCTGTTATTAGGTAACAGACAGTGGATCCCTTGGTTTTCATCTTCACACTCTACTGTTTAATGAGTTGTATTTGTTGTGATCTCACTAATCTTACACTCTCTGGTCCATTTATTCTCTCAAACATCGTCACACATAGTTGAGGTCATAATAGCATTTAGAGAAGGCTAAGCCCTCGACCAGTAGAGTCTCTTTTCCTTTTACAGGTGATGAAATTGGTGACCATTAACACTGAACCAAAACCAACCATCACTTCTCCTTGTGATGCTTCTCTAAAACACAGGTAACACATTCCAGCTTTCCTCCCTTCACCAGACACAGATATATCATAGTAAGCATGTAGCCAATGTTAACAAGAAAACACCACCAAAGAGCAGAAAATTGTGATTAGGATCTTTGTTGGCAATTGGAAGAGAGTTAGAACAGTGTATAGATAACATCCACTGCCATGTGCAAAATGGTCACTAAGACATTTCCACAATCCAAAGGTACAGAAACACCATCAAAGGAATCATTACATGAGACATTGGGTCAGAAAGTATTCTTTGCAAGGATGGAAACCTCCAACATGCATTGTGTGAAAAATGATAGTCACATGTATCCTATTAGAGACATTCAGACATTGGAAGCCTGAAACATAGACAACTTGTTTTCTCATCTATATTTGAAAAATAACATTAGTTCATGAAAGATCTTGCTTCTCCACCCCATGGGAGAAAATAATGAGAATGGTTTTCAGATGATTTAGAATTTCTTGAGATTTCCAACTTTGCTAATAACCATCACCAACTCAGAACAACAAACATTGTTTGAAAAACATGGAAAGTTTTATTATCATGTTCATTCTATTGGATAGAAAGTGGCAAATATACATCTTAGATGTTCCATAGTAAAATAACACTATGCTTATGAGAATGTAAACAAATAATAACTGTCATAGACTATGACCTAGCAAAGGGTCTCTAGAGGATTGCTTGAGCAGGAAGGGGAAACCACATATTCTAACACTTAAACAAGAATAAACCTGTTTGTAAGGAAGAACACAAACCTAAGAGATGTCTACTAATTGTGAGAAGTCTCAGGAATTCCTTATTGTCTTTTTCATGTCTGAGCTCCCACTGAAGTCTCCTTCTGATGTCCTTAGCAAAGTAAGGTGTGGCAGGTGGTTCAGATTTTAACAATTGGCTATTAGGGATATCCCTATTAATACTGACTCAGGATGTGAGGTTGCAATTAGAAACAGTGTCTCCCACAAACAATACCATAATTCCAGAATATTATAATCCTGTCAGTCTTGATTGGCCTGGTTGGATGTCCATCCACTTTCTCATCCATGGAAATCTCATATGTGAGTCCTTGTTCCTTCAAGTCTGATCTTTGGGCGATGCATAGCTGTAGTAGAGACTTTTCTTAGCAATGGGGAGGCAGCTGTCCAGTGCAGGGTCTGAGGGACTCCCACCACTATACATGCAATGCAACCTTGTTTGTGATACTATGAGAATCTCAGAGATATTGTTCAGACATAATGCCTCATCTTTAGTTTGTCTCAAATTTTCTTAATGATCAGTTAGAATTTTTCAAAGATAACATGGAACTGTCACTCTTGTTTACTGAATTTAGGGTCCTTGGTATGAGACCTCTTACTCTGCTGACTTTACTTTGAATACACATGTTTGAGGAACTGTCTTTCAGGATTTACATTTGGGTTAGATTTCCATTCTTATGACACTCTGTAGGAAGAGATCACACAACACAGACCAAAATCTATTGGTGCAGGTAGAGGTGTATCTGCATGCATAATTTTCAGTTCTCCTCTAGATAAGAATTGGATTCTTGGCCGGGCGGTGGTGGCGCACGCCTTTAATCCCAGCACTCGGGAGGCAGAGCCAGGCGGATCTCTGTGAGTTCGAGGCCAGCCTGGGCTACCAAGTGAGCTCCAGGAAAGGCGCAAAGCTACACAGAGAAACCCTAAAAAAAAAAAAAAAAAAAAAAAAAAAAAAAAAAAAAAAAAAAGAATTGGATTCTTATTGGACACAAATTAAAAAATATTAATTATCATTGTGAGTACTTGAGTATTTATTTAATATGATGTTTTTAATAATAATACCAAATGATGTATTTTCTTGCATCAAAAATTCCATCTGTAGGAGTCAGTAACTACTGACTGTAGAGTTTTTGTACCACAGCCATACACATGCAACTCCAGGAAATCCCCTGCTGTGCAGTAAAGGGTAAGTAATTCAGCTACAGTGATGTGTGGACATGATGTCACTCTATGTCTCATTCCCTAGACATCACACCAACTGCTTTGTATGAAGAGTCTAGGGTGTGTTCTGAAATACAGATTTTTCTGTGTGTAGAGGGTGTGGACAATCAAATGTGGAATTCATATTTTAATGTGACAACTACTGCCATGCTGATGTCAGTTGAGGTTCAAAAAGCATATTTCATTAAAAAATATACTCTTGGCTGGACTTGTTAGAGAAATCCTTTAATCCAAGAACTTGGGAGGCAGAGACGGGTAGATATCTGTGAATTTGAGGCCACTCTGGTCTACAATGTGAGTTCCAGGGCAGTCAGGTCTATGACATGTAGAAAGGGCTGTCTCAAAAACCAATACATGTCTCACCAAGTAAGAGCTATGTCAACAACTAAAAGTACAAGAAATATTACCATATACACCATCTTGAGAGGTGTAGTGAGAAATAAACTAATGTGGCTTTACAAAAACACAGCATTTCATTACCACAGAGTGAAATGACTCCAATGCCTCTCTGTACTTAGACAGTGAGAAGCAAAGTCACAGAAACCAGATGTTTTTCTTCCCGTCCTCTGAATTAGAGTTCCTGGGCTTGGTTAGGGCTCAGTGGCCAATGCTTGCCCAGAGCTCCTCTGCAGGGAGGTTTGTTTCTGGGCTCATGCTGAGGTCCCCTCACTGTGTCTTCTGTACAATAATGAGAGGCTGTGTCCTCAGTGGTCACAGAACTGAACTGCAAGAAGAACAGGTTCTTGGACATTTCCTTAGTGATGGAAAGATGGCTCTTGAGAGAAGGGTTGTAGACAGTTTCCCCACTGTGAGCTTTGGTCCCCATCCAGTCTAGGTTCTTCCCTGGGGACTGCCTCATCCAGATCCAGTAGTAACTGCTGGTGATCGAGAAACCAGTGACAGAACAGGTGAGGAAGAGTGACTGTGAGGGCTTCACCAGGCCAGGTCCTGAGTCCTGAAGCTGCATCTGGGACAGGAATCCTTCAAACAAGAGGGTCAATTCTGTCACTCACAGGTTGTCACAACCCCTCATGGACACATGTGGAAGAAATGGTAACCTTTCACAAGAAAGATCCAGCAGTCTCAACACCTACTTTTCCTCAGAGGTCAGCCTCCTATGAGAGAACTGTGAGCTCCCACAGTCCAGGATGGGATTTCACTTAGATTTAAGCAATTCATTTGCATGTCAGAAGCCTTCCTTGTCCTTATAATTGAGAAGAGTGGATACTGACTCTCTTTGATTATTACATGTGGTCATCACAGACATTGGCTTCTTGTTCTGTGAGTCTGGAATGGGAGAGCATGAGGACTATGGAGAATCACAGGAAACACATCATTGAATGACCCAACTCCACTTCCTAGCCAAATCTCTCCACCTAAATTCTTCCACTCTTGTATTTTTAAGGTGTTAGGTCAGTGCCAACCTTCTTTTTGCACTTGGGTGCCTGAGTTCTTGCTTTTTGATTAGTAAGCCCACACTGCTCCTGGTTTTGTTCACTTTTCTCACCCATGAGATGGATTTCCATCTTTCCTAACACTTAGTAGTCTGCCATTTTGTTTTTGCACAGGGTTCACACCTGTCTCATTGTTGCATAGACGGGTACCTAAGGCAGGTCATTCCCGAAGGAAGATTCAGTTGCAGGTAGGTAATTTTTAGGAAGGACAACATTGTTTACAGAGACCTGAGTCCTGAGATCTAGAGCTCACTGCTCAGCAGAAGGCCCATCTGTCAGTCTCCCCAAAGTGGCACAAGATGTTGGCCCAGAAAGTGGAATGCCCTTCATCCACATATTTTGATTTAGCAGACAGAGTCCTATTATAACCTTTTCTTTTTTTGCAATTTTTAAATGTCTATTTAAAAAAGACAGAAAGAATTAGAGAAACTGGGACAGATCATTTCCAAACAAGCTTTCCCAAGTCCCCACAGAATTCCATCCTGAGACTCAGCTGAATTTAAGGTCAATGGTTCCTGTTTATGTTGAGATCAAAGGTCAGAGGTTGTTCTAGATGAACAAAATTAAATAGGATATATGATGACAAAAATTCTATGTTAAGTAACAGAATTACCTAAAAATACAAATGGATCAGATCTGTTCCTCATGTTCACAGGAAAAGGAGAAATATTTACAACCTGTTTACATGTACAGGCTATAGAGTGTGTCCACAGTGACTTTCTCTAATCCCAAACACTGTCATAATTAGAATATCTTAGGCTTTGCCCTGAGGCTCATGAGAGAGAAGCCTTGGACCTTCATTAACATTTGATCCTGGTGACCTCAGCAGAGTCATTTCTGCAATCAGAGGTGATTTTTAACATTTAGTCCATTTAGACTGTGATATATAGATACAGAAAAAACAGAACTCTATTTTCACAGACATATACAGATGCATGTGCAGAGAACGTTCTGGGAAACCCTTAGGTGGAGCAGATAGCCCAGAGCCATCCCTCAGTTAAGTCTGTACCCATTCTGCAGTTTCCCTGTTTGCCATGTGCACTCTTCGCCCTCTACTGGTTCTAAGCGCTCCTGCAGGGAAGTTTGTGTCTGGGTTCATACTGAAGGCTTCTCACTGTGTCTCTAGTACAGTAATAAATGGCAGTGTCTTCGGCTCTTAAGCTGTTCATTTGCAGGTAGACACTGCTTTTGGGATCATCTTTTGAGATGGTAAATCTGCCTTTAACAGACTCTAGATAGTATGTTGCATAATTATTAGCTTTGTTTCTAATTTCAGCAACCCACTCCAACCTTTTCTCTGGAGTCTGGCAGACCCAATGCACATAAGCATCATTGAAAGTGAATCCGGAGGCTGCACAGGAGAGTTTCAGGGACTTTCCAGGCTGCACCAAGACTCCCCCAGACTCCACCAGCTGCACCTCACCCTGGACACCTGCAAACACAGAGAATCCTGTTAGTAAGCTCTCACAAATGTTCACTGACCCTCTCACTCCTACTCAGTATCTCTTCTCTATAAATCACCTTTTAATAGAGCAACCAGAAATACCCAGCACAGCCCCAACTCCATGCTGAACGTTCTATGTTCAGGGCTGATCAGAGAATGGGAGAATCTGTGAGTGCAGAGCTGGGTGCCTCTGTCAAAGCTGTAGCATCAGGGCTGGTATTCATGAGCAGAGGGGAACGTAATTTTCATGTCTTCCTGCTATATCATGAGCTGAGAGATGTGAGCCTTAGAAGACACAATTAATGGTACAGATATCTGAGATGAAATAAGGGCCAAGGTGGCATTTATAGAATCTTGTATTACTGATTGGCCTGGGAACTTAGCTCAGTTGGTAGAAAACATTTTTTTTCAAAGTGGAAGCCCTGTATTCACTTCCAGCACTGCATGGATAAAGAAAAGGTGGAAACAAGGGAATTAAATGTATGAGTTATGCTTGGGATATATGAAACTGTGTCTCAAAAAAGAAAGAGAAGGAACAAAGAAGAAAGAAAGAGGAAAAGTTACTTAGAATTAATGTTAGTCATAAGTAGTAATATAATCTTGCATCTGTACTTTACTGTGGTTTGTCCATATAAACTCCTTTGCTCTTTTAACAGAAATTATCACATAAATTCATAGGAAATAAAGATATGAATTAGCTAAATATTATAATTTTAGGAGAGATTGTATAAGGTTCAGTAAGTTATAAATGCATACATTAAAATAAAGTAACAAAATGGTACAGTGTAGCATAAAAAAGGCTCAATGTTTGATCCTTAAAGAAATAAAGGAACTCCAGTACATAAATACTATCTGAGATTATACTTTGATCAATAATAAAAGCACACCGAAGACCGTTGTGTACCACTTTGCTCCTCCAGGAGTAACTTCCCAAGCCCACCATGCAGGCCACCTCCTTTGAACCTGAAAGGCACTCCCAGCTCTTCTGTGGCTTCCATATGGTATCGAGTAGACCTATTTCATTCCATTCCATATCCTTCTGTCCCACAAATCCTCAGGGACTTGTCTTTCTTTAATCATTAGTGAGCTGTGCACTTTCTCTCTGAGAAGACCCACCTGGCCCTTCGGATATGTCCTTCCCTGCACTACCAGGTAGTCCAGTGCCTCCCTTTCACAAAGCCCACTCTCCTGCTATGACCTCCCTCCCCCCCATCATGCTATTTTTGCTCCTTCCCACATATCAGGCATTCTTCTCCATGGTCTTGCTTCCCTTAATGGCTGAGTAGACATTGTTGCTACTTACAGAATCCAGATCCTCCAGGTTCTTGCATCCAAGCCAGACTTCCTGGCTTTTCCAGAATCTTTCATCCCTATGCCCTTCGACTATGCTTATACCTTTCCCTGCTATAAGAGGCATGCCCATGCCTCTGTCAGGATCGTACAGACCCTGTGTCTCCTGACTCTAAAAGCCTCATGACTACACACCCAGCAGAGATTTCCCAAAGCAGAGAAACCAGACTTGGAGAGATACCCAGGAAGACAAGGGCAGAGAGAACAATCAAGGGGTGTTCTGAGACTTGGATAGTGCCTGTTCATGTAAACAGAAGTCCTGTACACCAGTTCCACCAATGAAAATAATGTTTTATCCCTCTCATGACTTAATCTTCTCCTGAGCATTGTACAGTATGGTGATATTTTATTTGTACTGAAATGTGATTTTATTTGTATGTTAATAAATAAAGTTGCCTGGGGTCAGAGCTAATAGCAAGCCATAGCAGAAGCTGGGCAGAGGTGGCACACGCCCTTAATCCCAGCACTTGGGAGGCAGAGCTAGGTGGATCTCTGTGTGTTCAAGGATACAGCCAGCATGGAGACACACACCTTTAAATCTCAATACCAACCATAGAAGACCAGGAGGTCTGTACAGACAGGCAGTGATGAGGAGGTCATGTGGTTGTGTTTACAACCAATGAGAAGGCACAACAGAAAGTCAATAAAAGGACAGACACACAGGAAGTAGGTCTCTTTCTCAGGGGAAGGACGGCAGCAGCAGCTAAGGGTAAGAAAGGCAGTTTTAAGTCTCAACTCTCAGCTACTGCTCTGACCTCTTGGGCTTTTAACTCTGCAATTGGCTCTGTGTTTCTTATTTAATAAGACTGTTTATCTACAGTACAAACCTGCATAAAGGTGATTTGAACAAAAAGGAAGAAAGACTCAACAAACAATTTCAAAGGTAGTAGTCTCAGATCAAAAGGAAATCTTTATATCTGACTCCACCGTGATTCAAAGCATCATTAGAAATTGCTATGAAAACATATACTCTGAAATTCTGGGTAACCCAGAAGAAACAGAACTTCTGAGTTAAGATTATCTGCCAAAATTAAGGCCCTAAAATGTAAATAATGTAAGTGGACCCATTATCAATAAGTTGATGCTGTTCCTAAAAGTCTCACATTAGAGAAAATCCTACTAGCAGAGAAAGTCACTGTTGAATTATCAGACCTCCAAGAAAGACTACATACCACTTCTTCTTAACTTCTTCTGTAAGATGGAAACTGACTGAGCACTTCCAAATTATTCTATGAAGTCAATATTATCTTGATAACTGAAAAATGTAAAGATGCTACAAAAATAACGACCTATTCATTTGATGAGCAAAAATGCAAAAATTCTTAACAAAATATTTGTAAATCAAATTCGGTCATACACCACAGAATTTATACATTACAACCAAGAGGGCTTCTTTCTCAAAAGGAAGGTTGGTTCAACATATATCAGTCAGTATCATATACCACATAAATAAATACAAAGATTGAAATGACATAATTATTTTAAATGTTGCTGATAGGTCACTTGGCCAAGTTCAATGTGCCTTTATGAAAAAAGTTCTGAGCTCTTTAGGGATGAACCCATGTGCCACAAAATAAGAAAGGCTACATAGAATAACCTATAGCCAAAATTATATTAAATGGAGACAAACTAAGATAATTTCCTCTAAAACCATGAACAAGACAAAGATAGATATACACTGTCTTCTTCTATATTTCATATAGTGCTTTTAGTTTTATCTATCATTTTTAAACAAGAAAAAGACATAAAATGGATCAGAATATAATGGGAATTATTCAAATTATCCCTACTTACAGATGACATGATTCTTTAATTGAAAGACCCTACTGTATATAATAGAAAACTCTTGTACCTAATTAATACAGTAATGTTTCAGGCTACAAGTCTTAGAGCAAATTCAGATGTAACATTAAAAGCCAAGACGAGGCGTTCTTTCCTCTCCATGCTTATATTAATACTCCCATAGTGTTGAAGTCCAATGATAATGATTTTCTAGACAAAGAATTCAAAAGAATGATTATATCTATGCTTACAGAACTCAAGGAAGATATGAATAAATTTTAAGGCAGCAGTATTTTCATAAAAAAGGATATCAAAAGATATGAATGAAATGAGGAGAAATACAGGTATAAAAACAGTTAAAAAGGCAAAGAATTGCTGAAGAAAACAAACTGAAATGATGATGGAAATTAACATGTTAATAATTCAAGAAACAGAAAACCCTCCCTGGAAGGACTCACCAACAAAATGAATCATGTCAAAAACAAAATGAGAATAAAGGCTGGAACATATTGAAGAGGTAAGGAGTTACTCAAGAAAGGACAAGAAGAAAATTTTAAATGTATATGATGAGAACATGGGAATGGTTTGGGATCCCAAGAAGAGACCTAACCAATCTTTTGATTATGGGCTGAGGACATGGAAAAGAATACCCCAGCAATGGCATCAGGGATATTTTCAATAAAAACAGAAAAAAACTTAAACCTACAGAAAGAAATGGCCATTTAGATATCAAGAGGGCACTAAAGAATAACAATTAGGGACATGAAAGATATTTCCCATGATATATTATAGTTTAACAATACAATCACAGAAAAAGGAAAGAGTATTGAAAGCTACAATGGATATCAAGCCAGTTATAAAGTCAGGCTCGTCAGGGTAATACCTGAAATACAAACAAAAATATTTGAAGTTATACAAGTCTGGAAAGATGTACTACAAGTTCTTAAAGAGACAACTGTCAAGCCGGCTGGTGGTGGCACACACCTTTAATCCCAGCGCTTGGGAGACAGAGGCAGGTGGATCTCTGCGATCAAGGCCAACCTGGTCTAGAGAGCGAGATCCAGGAAAGGCACAAAGCTACACAGAAAAACCCTGTCTTGGAAAAAAAGAAAGAAAGAAACAGCTGTCAACCCAGACAACTATATATAAGAAAACTATAAGTAATAATTGAAGGAAAAAATCTTTCCACAATAAAAGTGGTCAAAGCAACTTATGATCAGTAGTCCAGCTCCACCAAGAATAATGAATAATGGGATATTTAGCCTGAAGAGAATGAACACACTCACTGTCATATAGAATGAGTAAATAATTTCAGAATATTTAATACAGAGTTCTAAGAAAATACCAGAAACAACACATGTCAGCAGTGATTATACTACTTCCAACAATAATGCTAAGTATTGATGGTCTTAATACCAAAATAAAAAGTTTTAGACAAGCAGAATGGGTTAGAAAACTGGAGTATTCTTGGTGCTAATTTGAGAAACAGACCTCACCTTCTTAGGACACAATACCTTAGGTTACAGGTTGGAAAAAAAACTATTCCAAGCAGATGGAACTAAGAAACAAACATGCATAACTATTACAATATGTGATAGATTTGATGTTAATCCAAAACTTCTTAAAAGAGGTAAAGGAGATTGCTTCATACTCATTAAACAAAGAATCCAATAAAAGAATGTTGCATATATGTATATATGCATGTATATCTCAAAATTTGCAGCAAATTTTATAAAAGATATACCACTAGTTAAAAAAAAACAGATAAGACCCAATGTAGTGATGGTGGATGAATTTTCAATACCCTACTCTCACTGATACACAGTTCATCTGGGAAAAAATACACAGAGAAACATTGAAGTTTAATGTCCTGTAAATGACATGGACTTCACAGATAGCTTCCAAATGTTCCACACATATATGAAACTTCTACTGACTTTGGGCAAATCTCAGCGTGAAGAGCCTTGAAACTGTGTCTCCATTGTCAGGTCCTAACTGTCAATTGCAGAATTCATTTACCA